TCCTTGATCAATAAAAGTATTTTTTTTTTAAACTCAAACTTTTGAACCTGTATGTCTTCATTAGAGTGGAGTGAAACTGGAGTCACACTGGTTTGCGGTCAGTAAATCCTGCAGTAATGACAGATATGCATGTTCTCACCTTCTCCCATCAGGCTGTTGTTGTGAGCGCAGCTGGACTCTTCTCTCATGTCCCTCACACACTGAAAAACACACACACACACACACACACATCAAACTCAACACCTGAACAAACACAAACACATCTGACGTCACACTGACAGACTTTCTTGAGGAGTCGCTGTAACCACTATGTACTATAACCACAAGACTGATGAGAGGTTTGGGCTGAATTTATGTTTCTCATAATCTTAAAAAAAAAAAACTTTGATGAAAAGGCTTCAGATGAAATGGTTAAAGTTTTTTGGCCTAAGATATTCCGTAATGTATGGCTTTATTTATAATAATAATAATAATAATAATAATAATAATAATAATTATTATTATTATTATTAATTAATTAATTAATTAATTAATAATAATAACAATAATAATAAATGTATTATTATTTTGGTGTTGCTAAGATTTTTTGAATTTCAGATATAATTTTTCTGGATTAATAAATTTTAATAATCAAAAAGGGTGTCTAATCAAATGTATTAATAAAATAATAATACCATTAATAATAAACATTTTATATATATATATATATAGAGGAATAAAAATTATTATTTGCATATTTCCATTTGCAGGGTATCTGCAGGATTATTAAACTCAAATTTAATACTTTTTAAGACCTGCACAAATAAAATTAATACCATACGAGCGGGGTAGGGCAACGTCTACGGTAACATTAAACTGTAAAAAGCATGATTTACAGTTCAGATACATGTTTCACAAAAACATAGTTTTATAAAATGATAAACTTCACATTTAAGCCAGAAATTGTGTTGTTTGAATTTTTTTCAAACAACACAGGATTCTGTGTGATTTAATACAAATTTATTAGCAATAAAAATGGTAAAAATCACACTTTACCAATATAATTAACCTTTTAAAATCTTATCAAATGAAATTCAAATAACTGCTTTCATTTTTTTGCTTTCATACAAAGCCCTGTACAGAGGTTTACTGTTACTTACATCAGGGTCAGCGGATCTCACAGGGATGCAGCATTAGAGATTTCAGACTGTATGTGTCACGTATGACCCCTACATGGGAATGACTGCAATCTGCTCCATTCTATTCAAATGTGTCCTTTGCATTGTAAACAGATGAACTGTGCTGGCATGTAAATGTTGAAATGGTTCAAAACACGAGTCAAAGTCCATCTGGAGAGCTTTTGTTCCCACAGCTGATAAAACGCGCTCACTGAAATCTGACCCTCACATCCAGGTCTGGGATTTGTCCTCTAATTGAAGACAGATGGATCCATCTAACGTGGACTTTAACATTAGAGACAGTTTCATCTGTTTTTATGCTGATTTACTGCTTAAGAAATGTATTAGCAGTGTTGAAAACAGTTGTGCTGCTTCACATTTTTGTGGAAACAGTGAGCAATTTTTTTTTCAGGATTCTTTGATGAAAGTTCAAAAGAGGAGCATTTATTTGAAATATAAATCTTTTGTAACATTATAAACGCCTTTACAGTCACATTTGATCTGTTTAATATGGAAGCCTGTTTCCACCATGGGATAAAAAAAAGTATAAATATAAAGGTAATTGCAACTTTTTAATCACAATTCAAACTTTTTTCAGAAATGCAAAATATATAAAGTCAGAATTGCAAAATATATAAAGTCAGAATTGCAAAATTGATAAACTCAATAGACCGATATAAAGTCAGAATTGCAAAATATATAAAGTCAGAATTGCAAAATATATAAAGTCAGAATTGCTAAATATATAAAGTCAGAATTACCAAAATATATAAAGTCAGAACTGGAAAATATTAACTCAGAACTGGAAAATATATTAACTCAATTGCAAAATATATAGACTCAGAATTGCAAAATTGATAAACTCAATAGACAGATATAAAGTCAGAATTGCAAAATATATAAAGTCAGAATTGCTAAATATATAGACCCAGAATTGCAAAATTGATAAACTCAATAGACCGATAAAAAGTCAGAATTGCAAAATATATAGACTCAGAATTGCAAAATTGATAAACTCAATAGACAGATAAAAAGTCAGAATTGCAAAATATATAAAGTCAGAATCACAAAATATATATAAAGTCAGAACTGGAAAATATATTAACTCAATTGCAAAATATATAGACTCAGAATTGCAAAATTGATAAACTCAATAGACCGATATAAAGTCAGAATTGCAAAATATATAGACTCAGAATTGCTAAATATATAGACCCAGAATTGCAAAATTGATAAACTCAACAGACAGATAAAAAGTCAGAATTGCAAAAATATATAGACTCAGAATTGCAAAATTGATAAACTCAATAGACAGATATAAAGTCAGAATTGCAAAATATATA